TCAAGGCTAGCGCTCTACCACTTGAGCCACAGCGCCACTTCCGGCTTTTTTCTTTTTGCTTATGTGGTGCTGAGGAATTGAACCCAGGGTCTCATGCATGCAAGGCAAGCTCTCTACCATTGAGCCACCTTCCCAGTCCCTGGGCTTAACTTTTAATATCCAATAGATTCTCATCTCAGGAAAAAAATAAATGGTAACTAGGCTCAACACACCCTCCAACCCTGCCTCATCTACAATTTTTAGGCCTATCTTCTCTTAGGCCTGCAGCCACACAGGCTTACCACACTCCTGACATGAAGAGCATGTCCTTAACCTTGCACTTGCTCCCCATCCCTTGCAATATTCCTTTCTTGAATACCGACATAGCTCACTCACTCTCACTAAATAGGCCTTCCCAAAAGAGACTAACTATATAGAAGTCTCTAAAAACACTATCATCACTCTATTTTTTTGTTTTTTTAAGTCCAGTTGTGGGGCTTAAACTCTGGGCCTGGGCACTGTCCCTTAGCTCTTCAGCTCAAGGCTAGCACTCTAACACTTGAGCCACAGCGCCACTTCTGGCTTTTTTCTTTTTGCTTATGTGGTGCTGAGGAATCGAACCTAGGGCCTCAGGCATGCAAGGCAAGCGCTCAACCACTGAGCCACCTTCCCAGCCCCTCTATCATCACTCTAAATTCTTAGTCTAACTTTATTCCTACAGCAGCATTCTTGACTAACATGTATGGTTATTGGCTTATGGTGTACCTTATCTAACAGAGCGTAAGCTATTTGTACACTTGATTTACCAGTTAATTTCAAGCAATTTTAAAGTCCCTATTTTCTAGGTAATCCTAAATTTTCTCAAAACTATCCTCAAATTTACTAATTCTCTCTTTAGGTGTAACTTATGTGTTATTTGTCTATTCAATCAAGTCAAAGTAAATTGGCTATTTTTCATTTTTAGGGTGTTTTTGTTTTTTGCACTGGTCTTGGGGGGGCTTGAACTCAGTTCTAAGAGTTTACCCTGAGCTTTTACATTTTTTTTAAATCAGTTTTTTTATTGTGAAAATACCGTACAGAGTGGTTACAATTACACGAGAAAGATAATAAGTATATTTCATAGTTGCCTCCTCCTTTTTTTGGGGGGGGGGGTCTGGTCGTGGGGCCTGAACTCTGGGGCGCTGTCCCTCAGCTCTTCAGCTCAAGGCTAGCGCTCTACCACTTGAGCCACAGCGCCATTTCCGGCTTTTTTCTTTTTGCTTATGTGGTACTAAGGAATGGAACCCAGGGCCTCAGGCATGCAAGGCAAGCTCTCTACCATTGAGCCACCTTCCCAGCCCCTCCTCCTTTGTTTTTCCCCTACCATCTCTGCCCTCCTATCTCCTCCCCACCCCCACCTTGAGCTTTTTTTCTCAAGGATGTACTCTATCACTTCAGTCACATCACTACCTCTGACTTTTTGGTTAAGCAGAGATTAAGGGCATCCTGGACTTTCCTGATCGGGTTGGCTTTGAACTGAAATTCTCAGAAGCTAGGTTTATAGGTATGACCAGCACCCAGCCCATTTTATATTTTTAGTCATTAATGAATATATACTTTAGCTGGGTGCCAGTGGCTCATGCCTGTAATTCTAGCTACTCAGGAGACTGAGATCTGAGGATCTCAGTTCAAAGCCAGCCTAGGCTTTCGGGAAAGTCCATGGGACAGCACCCAAGCCTAGAGTTCAAGCCCCATGACCGACCAAAAAGAAAAACCCAAAAAACAAAAAAAAAAAGATGTCAATTTCCTCCACATCTCTCTTTCAATGGACAAATCTCACAAGTCTGTTTCCTGAGGGTATATCCTTCATCCTGGCTTCACAAGTGCCAGTTTCAGTTCTAACCCATAACCTTCTAATGGATAAATGTTTTGCAAAACAGTCATTGTATGAGGATTATTGTGCAACCAAGGTTACAGAAACCTCTAAGATTGCCTACCATCTCAGAGAAGTTATACTCTAAGTCTATGCTTATAGATTCTAGTGTCCATTATTGGTTGTTGGGGATTTTACCTTCACTGCTGCAAGCTCACAGAAAGTTAAGAGCTGAGCTGACAGCTGTATTTTTCTTTTTTGTGTGTGTGTGGGGGGGGGGTCCAGTTGTGGGGCCTGAACTCTGGGCCTGGGCACTGTCCCTCAGCTCTTCAGCTCAAGGCTAGCACTCTACCACTTGAGCCACTATGCCACTTCTGGCTTTTTCTGCTTATGTAGTGCTGAGGAATTGAACCCAGGGCCTCATGCATGCAAGGCAATCACTCTACCACTGAGCCACCTTCCCAGCCCTCTTTTTATTTTTTAAATTGTGGTAGGTTGTGGGTCTGGGCCTGGGCCCTGTCCCTGAACTCTTCACCTCAAGGCTAGCACTCTACCACTTGAGCCACAGCACCACTTAAGTTTTCTGGTGGTTTACTGAAGAGTCTTGTGGACTTTCCTACCCGGGCTGGCTTTGAATCATGATCCTCAGATCTCAGTCTGAGTAGCTAGGATTATAGGGATGAGTCACTGGTGCCCAGCGACAGCTGTATTTTATTCGGTATATTTTTTTCTTTCTTTTTTCCTTTTTTGCTGGTATTGAAGCTTGAACTATGGGCCTCTGTATTCTCACTCAGCTTTTATTTGTTTGTTTGTCAGTCTTAGGGACTGAACCCTGGGCTTGGGCGGTGTCCCTCAGCTCTTCAGTTCAAGGCTAGCACTCTACCACTTGAGCCACAGTGCCACTTCCAGCTTTTTTCTTTCTGCTCAAGTGGTGGTAAGGAATCAAACCCAGGGCCTCAGGCATGCAAGGCAAGCGCTCTACCACTGAGCCACCTTCCCAGCCCCTCACTCAGCTTTTTTGCTCCCTGGACTGGCACTGAATCATAATCTTCAGCCTCAGCTACTCAGCTTGCTGAGATCCTAGGATTACATCAGGACCTAGTTCATTAGGTATTTTTGTGTATTCTGAGTAAGCAGGGTTTTTTTTTTTTTTTTGGTTGGTTGTGAGGCCTGAACTCTGGGTTTTGGGTGCTGTCCGTGCACTCTTCAGCTCAAGGAGAGTGCTCTACCACTTGAGCCACAGCACCACTTTCAGTTAAGAGTCTCATGGACTTTCCTGCCCGGGCTGGCTTTGAACTGCGATCCACAGATCAAAGCCTCCTGAGTAGCTAGGATTACAGGTGTGAGCCACTGGCGCCCAGCTTGAGTAAGCAGTTTCGAGGGTATTAAATGTGCCATTTAGTCAGAGGCTAACGTATTAAAGAAATTATTGGAAGAAATACAGTTTCAATATTAAACCACATAAAGTCTAATTGGAGAGTTTATAAACTGGTACGATTTAAATGATTTCAGAAACAGAAATCTTAAAGCCCCAGGAAGACAAATTTAATCCGTAAAGCCTATTAAGAACAACAATATTTAATCTTTCATTGAAAAGAAATATGGAACTTACAGTGCATTATCAAATTTCCCAGAACTATACTGGTGGACATAAGATGAATAAGCCAAGTCTTCATGAGCTGTTGCTACATGAATATTTTTGCCACCAAACACTGACTGTCGTATGTCGAGGGCTGCCTAGAAGAATCAAAAAAGTATTCAATAACATTGTAACCTTTCAGGAAATACCATCTAGTTAAACATCCTTACAGTTTATATAGCTAGTCCCTTAAATTTTTAAGCAAGAAAGTCCTGTTGTATTTGAATTGTAGTTAAAGATGAAAGCCACCAAGAAGACATGCTTTTGTGGAGACTGACTTTAAAAGGCTTAGACAGGCATGTGAAAGCTTAGACAGGTAGTAAACACCTGTAATTTTGAATTTGAGGCCAGCCAGAACTATATAGAAAGATCTTGTCCCTTTTCCTTCCCAGAAAAAGGGGGACAGAAATCATGGTGAGATAAGCCAAACTCAGAGTCAAATGGCATGTGTCTTCTCTCATATGGGGACACTAAATATAAATTATACCAGGACATGATCAATAGTCTCTAGGCATTCATGCTTGGTAAGACAAAAGGAAGATAATCTTAGGAGAGGAACACAAAGGCACAATGCCTATATACATCTGATCATTCAAAATAATATTTATCAAATGAACTCCAGGAAATGGAAACCAGAGGTTTTTTTCTTTTTCGGTATTTTTCTTTTTATCTTGTTTGTTCATTTATGTTTTCAAAGTCTGAGGGGGGCCATAGAAATGGAGGGGCAAAGGGTGAACAAATGCAGTAGTGGTATTCACTAGACATTATGTTGAAAATGAACTAAACTATACATAGGTTAGTACAAGAGGGAAAAATGGTATGAGAGCAAGGGAAGTTGTGACATTGTCGAAAAAGAAATGTACTCTTTATCTGACTTTTTTTTTCTATTTCTGCACATCACTTTTATAATAATATGAGGGAAAAACAAAGGGACAATGAACCAGGTGCCAGTGGCTCACACCTGTAAGCCTAGATGCTCAGAAGGCTGAGATCTAAGAATCACAGTTCAAAGCCAGCCTAAGCAGGAAAATTCATGAGACTCTTATCTCCCCTAAACTACCAAAACAAAGAGCAAGTGGAGCTGTGGCTCAAGGGATGGAGCATTAGACTTGAGCAAAAGCAGCTCAGGTACACAGCCCATGCTGAGTCAAGTACCAGGATCAGAACCAAAAAAAAAAAAAAAAAGGGGGGGGGGGGGGAGGGAGGACGGACAGAAGGGGAACAATGGCTTATTATTTACTCTTTTATTTTATTTTTATTTTTTTGGTCGTGGGGCTTGAACTCAGTGCCTCAGTGCTGTCCTGAGCTTTTCCGCTCAAGGCTAGCACTCTACAACTTTGAGCCACTTGGGGTTTTCTAGTGGTTAACTGGAGGTAAAAAGCCTGGGCTGGCTTCAAACCACAATCCTCAGATCTCAGCCTCCTGAGTAGCTAAGATTATAAGCATGTGCCACCAGTGCCTGGTAATAATAATCCTTATGTCTTAGGAATCACATCAGTGGTTTCCCTGTCCTTTAGCCATGCCACAACATACAATTTACCTGAGAAAAATGAGTATAAAACCTAACCCTGGGCTGGGAATGTGTCTTTTTGGTAGAGTGCTCGCATGAAGCACTGGGTTTGATTCCTCAGTACCACATAAACAGAAAAAGCCGGAAGTGGCACTGTAGCTCAAGTGGTAGAGTGCTAGCCTTAAGCAAAAGAAGCTCAGGGACAGTGTCCAGAGCCCAAGTTCAAATCCCAGGATTGGCCAAAAATAAACAAAAACAAAAAACAACCCCTGTAATCCCCGCTACTCAGGAGGCTGAGATCTGAGGATCATGGTTCAAAGCCAGCCTAGGCAGGAAAGTCCCTGAGACTTTCATTTCCAATAAACCACTAGGAAACGGGAAATGGAATTGTGGCTCAAGTGGTAGAGCTCTCGCTTTGAGTTGAAGAGTACAAGAACAGCACCCAAGCCCAGAGTTCAAGCCCCATGACTGACCGAAAAAAAAAACCACTAGTGCTCTATCACTTAAGCCACAGCTATAATTCCAACTTTTTTTGTAGTTTAGTGGAGAAAAGAGACTCACAGATTGTATTGCCTGGTCTGGTTTCAAACTGTCATCCTCAAATCTCAGCTTCCTATGTAGCTAGAATTACAGGCATGAGCCATAGGTGCCTGACTCAGTTCTATTTTTAAAAGTACATGTATGGGACTGGGAAGGTGGCTCAGTGGTAGAGCGCTTGCCTTGTATGTATGAGGCCTTGGGTTCGATTCCTCAGCACACATAAGCAAAAAAATCCATAAGTGGCACTGTGGCTCAAGTGGTAGAGCACTAGTCTTGAGCTGAAGAGCTCAGGGACAGCTTCCAGGCCGAGTTCAGGCCCCACGGACAGCAAAAAAAAAAAAAGTACATGTTACCTGTATAAGATACACTACATCTAATATTTAAAAAATATACTTTTCATTAAGTCAAAAATTATTTAATTCAGTGTGATTAACACTACATTTGTTTAGTTAATTTAACAAATATTAATATTTTTTAAAATAAAAAATATCTATCAATTAAAAATACTTTTTTTTTTTGCCGGTCGTGGGGCCTGAACTCTGGGCCTGGGCACTGTCCCTCAGCTCTTCAGCTCAAGGCTAGCACTCTACTACTTGAGCCACAGCGCCACTTCCGGCTTTTTCTTCTTATGTGGTGCTAAGGAATCGAACCCAGGGCCTCATGCGTGCAAGGCAAGCATTCCATCACTGAGCCATCTTCCCAGCCCAGGAATTGCCTTTGTTTTGGGGTAATATTGAGGATAGAACCAAAGGCTTGCTAAGCAGGCATTCTTAGTACTTAAATTATGCCTCCAGCCTGATTTGGTCCTGGTTATTTTTGAAGTAGGGTCTTACTTTACACCTAGGTAGGACTTGTGCTTCCGCTGGTCACTGAGGATGACAGAGGTACACACCACTGGGCCCAGTCTGGGTGCTTTCCCTGTAGCTGGAATAACAAGTGCCCTTGTGCCCATCTGATATCTCAATGAGAAGGAGTCCTGTGAACTTTTATGCCCAAGGTGGGACTCAAACTGATTCCCCCAATATCCACCTACCAATAAGGAAGTAGGATTGCAGGTTTGTTTTTTTGAGCTATATTTTTGAATGGATTAATGTTCTAAAAAGTTTGTTAGATGTTTATTAAATTTGTTCTCTCTTTCCTTGTGCCTATCCTGGGTTTTGAACTCAGGGCCTGGCTGCTCTCTCTGAGCTTTTGAACCACAGTTTCACTCCCAATTTTTTGTCGGTTAACTGTAGATAAGAGTTTTATAGACTTTCCTGCCCAGGCTGCTTCAAACTGCAATTCTTAGACTTCAGTCTCTTAAGTAGCTAGGATTATATACATGAGCCACTAGCACTGGCAAAGTTTATTTTTAATATTAAAAACAACATTTTATTTTTGAGAGAAAATAATTTTGTCTTCAAAACATTGACGTTTAAGCCTTCTACTAAAATAATGAGTCCTATAGGAGGGGGCAAAATGGCTCAAAATGGCATTTATAAATATGGTTTATAGCTACAAATAAACACAGGTTAGCAAGGTTGAAAGAAAAAAAGGGTAACCATTAACATACCTGATAAATTGCAACAGACTGACAGATATTATCTACATTGAGTAAGTAGAACCCATAATCTAGCAGTGTATCAGAGTATTTTGGGTGTTTGGATCCAAAATGATCCCTATGAAAAGATACAAAACTATTAGGATATGAAGTATAAAGAGGCAATTTAAAATGGCATTTTTAATACCAATCACTTACCGTGCCAAATACACTGCATGTTTAATTAACTGTTCTGCCTTCTTAAATTCACGTTTTACTACACAAGCCTAAAGACAAAGTGAAAACTTGTTAAATAAAGTATATTTAGTTTATATCACTGCTATAACAGTAAATAGAAAGTTTCTATTGCAATTTCTTTCCTTCTAAGTACTTAAAATTCTCTTATAAAAAGATCTGCAAATAATCTGGAAAAAGATGAATTTAAAATTTTGATCACCATTTCCAGTTCACACCTGTTATAACAAGTTACCCCATCTTCCTATCTTTCCACAATAGAATGAGGGGGAGGGCCCAATACAGTATTTTCTAAAGTACTTATCTAATTCTGAAGTAGCTTATAGTGACCTTTTATAGTTTCCTTTTATTTATTTATTTATTTTTTTTATTTGTGAACATACTGTACAGAGGGGTTACAATTACATGGGCAGGATAATGCGTACATTTCTTACCAAGCATTGCAGC